CTAAACCCTAAACCCTAAAACGTCTTCGCTCGAACGGAGGAAGTCTGCGATACGGGCCCGGGTACCGGGCCTTCAGGCACCCGAAGCAAGCGCGCTCCTCACGATGAGGGCTCCGGCTCCGGCCTACGACCTACGAAACCCTTTGAAAGTCCCAGAGGGTTTATAGGGTTCACTGGGTTTAGGGTTTAGGGTTTAGGGAAAACCCTCAAGCCCTATCACATGCACTTCGTAAACACCTCCACAGCCTGCAACCACCAAGCCAAGTACGTCTTTGGCTTCAAGCGTTCGACCGCTCGCACACCACGCCTGGACCACGATCAAGTCGCGGCCTGATGAAACCGCGGTTAAACTGAAAACGTGGAGACTCAAAGATGATGCCTCTCGTCGGGAAGTTCATGTCACCCCTGTCTTCCGAATGCTACTGATTTTTCAGCTTGCATGCAGGCCTTGTGTCCAAAACCAAATGAGGTCGAAACCGTTTGATGTGTACCATGCCGTCTGACAAGTCTGACATGCGATCATGTGTGGTTCTGCAGCCGCCTTGCTCGCAGGCGCCCCAAACCTTGGGGATGTGGTCGCCGGCGTCCGGAACCAACGCCAGACGCGAGAGCACCTGGCAAATGCAAGGGAGCTTCTCCTGGGCGAACCTGGTCGCAGACAGCGCCTGCAGCTCGAGCGTGCACTCCGGCTTCCCCTTGGCGTAGCGGATGACTACCTGACAGAGGCTGCAAGGCACTGCAAGGACTAGCAGCAGACAGATGTCTAGCTGGCGACGTCATCGAGGTAGTAGTAGGAGTAAAGAAGAACTCGCCGACTTAGTTACTGCAGTGGTCATGGCCAGTGGTCATCATCACTGGCAGCTGCTCCAAGAAGCATCTCTTTGCAACCGCCGGAGGCACGTAGCAGCGCTGCTGGTCAGAAGAAGCAAAGGTGGAGAGTCACACTCGCTGAGTCTCATCATAGACGACGACCGTCACAACAACCAAAACACGGTCCTTCCCTATCAACTTTGGATAAGCAAGACTCAAAACCTACGAATGTCCTATTGGAGAATTTGAGAACAGCTTGGACATGAATGTTGTTCTCATCTGTCAGACAGGCTCAAAATTCAAAACACGTCTTATTCCATTATTGGTGTTGTTAGGATCGTGCACTGCTAGAAATCCACTATATCCTCTAAGTCCTAAGTTTACCACCTTTGCTTCCTAAGGCTTCGCCTCGGCATACTGAACAAGATCTTGCACATAATTAGGTAATTTCTTCCCGGGACTCGCTTTGGATTGGGTGAGGTTGTTGGTTAGGTTAGATGATGCAGCGGATGGCCGATTGGGCTGAGCTGGCTGGCCGGTGGTATCTTAAAACAGGCTCCCCCCGGCCGCAAGATCTGTGGCCCGGGCGATGTCGCGATCTGCCTGAAACCAGGAGCGCACAACTTCTCGCAGAAGGACTCTTCGTGCTGCCCGTGCTCTGCCTCATCATCGTCCGGCACGGCGGAGCCTTTCAGCACTCCTCGATTGACCTAAGCACATCAGAACATATAATATATATATATATATATAGTGTATATATATATATATACATATATATATAACATACATATCATATAATATCTATATATATATATATAGAACATAATACAACCGATTCAGGCTTGTCTGGCACACCAGCGCAGCCGGGCCCCTTGACATGCTTGAAGCGGCCTTTGCCGATCTCCACGCCGATGCTGAGGCCCTGAAGCGTGGCAGGTGCACCGGCTAAGCCGCCGGCCCCCAAAAATCCAACCCCCGATCCCACCAGGCCTCCAGGGGTAGAGGCCTGATCAGAGTTTTGGAACGACAAGGGCAAACCCGGCCCCCTTAAGACGAAAGGAAAGCCCCTGGCGGCAGCCCGGGCAGTGGTGGGAAATCGCGGGCTGCTGGCACCTCCGGAGAAATTAAAGCAAATACGAACAGACTGGGCCACGACTGGGGAGAACTCGCGACGTCTCAGAGCCCGACGCCCGGCCGCCGTGCCGGTGCAGGGGCCTGGGAATGGGAGCATTGCCAGAAGCACAGAAAAGAGCGGTGTGCCGTGCGTGCTCGCTTGCCTCCTTGGCGTCTGGTCGTCCTGCCATGCACCGCAGGATGAGATGGTATTGAGCTGACGGGAGTCTATGGACACGCGGATGGATCTCTAGGTCTAACATCTCTCGCAAGGATGTGACTCTCACTATGCCTCAGTGTTCCACAAACATTTGCGAAGATGTGGTTCGCAGTACATGCTGTCTTAGACGAGAAACCACCTCAGGTACCACAAGGAAATACAAGGAATCTGTGATGGGCAAGTCACCTCGCCTGCAATGCCACTAAACAGCAAGCCCAGTAACAGTCCTTAGCAAAAACCATGTCATAGCAGCAACTACACTCTCCACATCTCTCCACTCTCCACTTCTTGTTTTCGCTTCTGGGTCCTGCAACTGCCTTGGCCTTGGCTTTGGCCTTGGCTTTGGCTCCTGGGGACGCCGCCGTACCTGGGAATGGGATTTTCTTACATATCGGGTACTTGGGGCCACTTGGGCTTTTCTTCGGCGCCGGGTGTCGAGAAGAGGATTCCTTCACTCGGAGACCGGGAACCAGCCGCTGAAATTAGGGGTTTCTTTCGATCTGCCGACGAAAGTAAAAAGGAATCACCGGTGTCACCCCGATCATCACCGACATCATCGGCGTCGCCGCACGATCGGCCACCACCGCAGCAGCAGGCACTAGCCGCACTAGCCCGTGCATGTAGCGATCGCGAGATCTTGTCGCCAACACAGAACTCAGCCTGAAAGTCTGAGGAGCGGGATTCCGGCATTCCTTCGGCAGATTCCCTCTTCCCTGCAAGCGCACAGCTGGCCCCCACTGAACCCTGAACCCTAAACTCCTAAACGAAGGGACTCAGGGCGCAGCGCATCATGGCGAGGCTGGGAGGCCGCGAGAAAGTCGACGTTCGCGCGTTGGAGCCAACTTGCCACGGCCGTGTCAAGATCTCAGGGCTTTTCTTGGTTGTGAACAGCTTTTTTCCGGCCTTTTTTCAGGAAGCGACTGAGTTCTACTGGCAGTGTGCATGTTCGTCTGTCCCGATTCCCCTGCCAAGCATCCCTGTAGAGAGAGGGAGAATGGAGCATGAACTAACCAAGAACCTGAGATAGAGATAGAGAAGGAGACAAAGAAAGGTGGGCAAACACCCTGTGATCTGCCACAGGGCAAGACTCGGAGATGATGAGTATCTTTCAAGGGAGCGGTCGGAGTACGAAGCCGTGTGGAGCGCAACAGTAGCTGCCTTGTCATTGCGAATGAATGCCTACATTGCGGCCCGACAAGTTTAGGGGACAACAATGAGGCTTGTGGATTGGGGTCTGCGCCAGTTGCGCGGCTGGGGCATGCTTTGATGAGTCTCGCCAGTCACATGCCTTCACAGCCTCGGAACAATCCCCGCAGGGACGTTGAAGCAGCTACTCCCTGGAACTGGAACTCAGAGCGAGTCGAAGAGTTAGAACCAGAGTCCGAGCCGGAAACATGCCAAGCTAACTGTCAGCAGGACACCTTCCGCACCGCCTTCAAGCGACTTTATGGGACGTCTCCCACCATGCGAGCGCGCAACCAACTTTTGACAGCCCGGCGAACACGGCGACGTCGGGGCTTCTGCGAAACCCCATCAAGCCAGAACGAAGATGGCGTAGTCGTAATCGTAGCCTGGATCGGACAGCAGCCGAAACCAACAGCACCTACGACGTTCCCTTGCAAAGAGCGTTCAAGAGCAATCCAAGCAGCCCGAGCTGATCGTCCATGGGCAATTCTCGTGGCAGGTGTGATCTGAACCAATGAGACCACCCATTCCGCCACTGCTGCCCCAGTGGTGCTGCGATCACAGGATGAAAGAGCATGATACCAGCATGACGCCTTGCATCGCCTTGCACAGCCTTGCACCTCCTATACGAACCTTGCAGAGCAAAGCAGGCCTGCTCCGTTCGCATTTCTGCGTCCGCCATCGGCCGCGCAGTCTTACCACAGGTGTTGGACCCGAGAAACTGCGTGTCGTACTGGGTGCCTCAGTGGTACACGAGCCTTCAGTAAGGGCGGCTTTTAAAGTGCGGCAAGACACCTAAAGAAAGGGGGCCAAGTCGCCAAGGCCAGCCCCAAAGTTTCCGGACCAGTTGATGTCGACGTTGACAGAGAGCCTGTTGAAGTCCCAGTCCCCGTTCTCGTGATTTGAATTGACATAGAGCTTGTCGGTGCCGTCGATGGTGTTCTTAATCAAGGGCTCGTTCTTGACCAGGGTTCCCACGTCAGCACCTGTGGTCTCCACAGCCATCTGGAACTTCTTTTCCGCAAGTCCCGTGGTGCAGGTGTTGCCGATCGTGAACCAGCCCTGCAACGTCTTCGTGTCCACCAACTTCCAAGAGCGCCATCCGAGCGCCTACGGGGTCGACTGTTGCCCCCATTTTCCCCAGCCCGCCTGGTCCCGACCCCCGACCCCCTCCTTGCCCTCGTTGTGGCAGACGATCAGCAGCTGCTTGGCCTGTACCTTGTTGAAGACCTCCAAGTCCTTTCCAGGCACACAATTGACAAGGGAGCAGGGCCTCTGTAACTGTAGGGTGGGCATGGAATGGCATGGAAGCTTTCTTGTGAACGCAGCGCCGGTCCTTGTAGTCCCGAGTGAAGCGTTCTTCCGCCTTGTCGCTGGCCCCGCCCAGGCCCGTGGCGGACTCCCAGAAGTCGGTGTTCACGTATGAGACCACGTTGCCATCGTTCGTATCGACGTTGAGGGCGAGGCGCCAGTCGCCGGAAGGTGTTGTGCCGAGCCCCGAGAAGTCCAAGCCGGACGTGCCGCCGCCGGACTGCTGCTGGCAGCACGAAGCAACACACCTTAAAGTCTTAAAGCGGAAGTCTTTAAGCTTTGCAGTTTCAGGCAGGGCCCCACTGTGCCCACTTCTCAGCTGAGACACGCTTTGGCCGGACTGTCTGCAGGCAGGCCCTCGAAGTTGGCCTGCACGTAGCCTGCGCTCCCGGCCTTGTTGGCCGGGACGTGGCAGCTGGGCTTGTTGGGGATGGTGGAGAGCTGCAGCGGGAGGTCGCTGTCGGCCTGTCCACTCATATCCTGCGCCTGGCAGCTGTCGATGGCGCTGGCCCGCTTGGACTCCTCGAGATTGAAGACCTGAATGATGCACTCCATGCGCAAGATGGCGCGCCACTCCTGGCAAAGACAAGACCATCGTTGACACCGGCAGAGTGGGAGAGTTGCGGACACCCCGACCTCACCTTACACCATCATCCCAAGCAAGGTCTTGGATGCTCACAAACTCAGACGAAGCCTTAAGACAAAACTCCAGCAGGACCACAGCTTCCGGCGTGCTCGCTCACTCGCTCGGTCCTTCTTCAAGCTGTCCAGCTCGGACATGGACGAAGTCTGGACAGACTCGTAATTCGCGACAGCCTTGTCGTAGCACGTTCCGGAAGCCTCGCACTTGCTGGTTGCCGCCTCATAGTGGGAGCAAGAAAGACTATCCATGGCATCCTGCACGCTGTCGCAGTTTTCCTTCTGGCTTTCGTAAGTCTTCAATGCGACGGTGCACTCGGGCCCCTTGTCTTCCAACTCCTTCTTGGCTTTGGCGCACCCCTCCTTCAGCTTCTTGTACTCTGCGAGAGTCTTCTGCGAAGCCTCGATCAGCCGCGTGTGGTAGGCCTCGAAAGCCTCACCAGACTTCACTTCACAAGAGTCCTTGGCGCTGTACATGGTCTTCTCCAGTGCTTCCAACGCCTCGCATGTCGTCTTGGCGGTGCTTGTCACAGTTTTTAGCTCGGTCTGGCAGGTGTTCTGTGCATCCAGGTTCTGCTTCTGCGTCTGCCGACATGTCTTGTGTGCCGCGCTCTTGGCCGTGAAGTTCTTCTCGAAGGCCGAGGAGCTCCGTTGCATCTCTTGGCCACCGCAGTCGGACATGGCGTTGCCCGCGTTGGTCAGCGTGGCCTGCCACAAGAGTCTGAAGCAGGCCGATCGTTATACTGCAGGAAAAGGGCTCCCCTCAAGCCAGGCATTCTGAGGGCTGCAACCCATGCCCGATGAAAGCTAGGCTGCAAGCTATGCGCCCCTCTCCCTTTTCATACTTTTGCCAGCCAACACACGGTGCCCTCTCCCAAACCCACATCTCAAATATCTCAAAAGCCTGGAGGCCCTCCAACGTCTTCTTGATCGAGGGCTTGGCATCGTTCAAGAGCTGCTGGATCTTGTCCACCAAGGCCTCATGTACAGAAAAAAGAGCGTGCAAGCAGATCTTCGCAAATGCCTGTCGAAGACCCAATGTCCAATCTATTACTCGCCTATTATTGTTCGGCTGTGAGACCTTGCCGAGGTTTGGGGCTTGGGCCCGGTCCTCCCGACAAATCGAATGGGAGTTGGGGACATAGACCCTCTGAATAAGGTCCCTTTTAAGGGAGCCCAAAGTAGGGTTAAGAAGGTCCCCCTTTAAGGGGTCTTCCTAATACTCCCTAGGACCGAAGCCAAGGCAGCCAAGGCAGCCAAGGGCACCTTGGTCTCGGGGCTGGAGCGGCCCTTCGAGGCGCGCAGGGCCGTCACCAGCGTGTCCTCGAAGTCGAGGTCGCTGACCGGCACCTGCAACATGCGGGCACTAAACAGCGGGGCGCAGCGTGATTGCGATGCCTTGCTACGAAGTGCAAGGCAGCTCGCGCCTTCAGCAAGTTCAGCGAGCCCTGTTTCAAGGCGGCTCCCACCACGCATAGTGCCAGGAACAGCTTCATTTCGGGAGGGCGGAGGGGGGAAAAAAACAGGCACTGAGCGCTTGAACTTGGCGCAGGCCTTGAGCAGTGCAAGGGCGGCCGTGGGATTCACGCTAACGGCTAACGTACCGGCTGCCGGCTTATCACCTCTTGTAGTCCAGTAGCCGCTCAGGTTCTGGGCAGCCCCACGAGAGACGGCCCCTAGTCCAGTCGCAGAAGCGGGCAGAAGTCGAAGTGCACTTCATTGAAAAAAAGGAAACAAAAACACCCGCTCCTTTTTCTCCTCGACCGGCTGCGGAGCGCTCCAGCGGCCTTCGAGTCCCCGCCGCTGTGCGGTTTCCGCGGGCTCGGCACGGCTCCTGTGGGACCCTCCTGTGGAGTCGGAGCACAGATCTCTACGAAACTTGGGCGATCGCGGACTTTTCTCGGCGCCGGCGAGCCCGGCGAGCCCGGCGAGCCCGGCGTCTGGTTGGCGCTACAGCGCCGCGCCCCAGAGCGACGTGCTCGGATCGAATGCTGAGGAAATCCTCCAGCCAAGGAGCCACCTGCGAGCTGGCTCTCCGTCTCTCTGAAGCAGAGTTGGGAAGTGTGCAGGATTGCTGCAGGCGTGTGGCTCTGGCGCTTTTTGCGGCGAACGTCGTATCCACCGAACTCGCGCGATCTACATTGCACGGCTACTGAAACGGGGGAAAAAAGACAGGCCATCGCTGCCAACGCAGCAGGCGCGATTAGCCAATGTAACCAGTTCAATTGCCCCTCATTCCGGAGTTGCTCGGATGTTTCACCGAGATCTCATGTAAACAGCTCCACAGAAACGAAAGTTGACGGAGTGGGGGCCTATGCAAGACACGACCCGAACGTCTGCTTGCCTGACCGGAGTTGCAGCACGAGCGATTTCCACAAACCTCTTGGGCTTCTACAAGCATGCTCATTGTCAATGCTGATTGTGCAGATTGAACTACATATGAGTCTTGTTGAGTAGTACGAACTGACCGGTGATATGACTTGAACATGCTGCACTTGTGCTTGCAACGACTGCAGAATCCTCCTCCTCCTCCTCCTCCTCCTCTTCCTGCTGCAACTCCGACTCCTACTCTTACTCCGACTCCTCCTGCTACTGCTGCTGCTGCGAGGGCTACTGCCAGAGCTACTGCTGCTACGACGACGACGACGACGACGACTACTACTACTGCCACTGCGACTGCCACTGCCACTGCCACTGCCACTGCCACTGCCACTCCTGCTTCTGCTTCTGCTACTGCCACTGCCACTTCCACTGCTGCTCCTGCTCCTGCTCCTGCTCCTGCTCCTGCTCCTGCTCCTGCTCCTGCTCCTACTCTGCTACTGCTACTGCTACTACTGCTACTGCAACTACTGCTACTGCTACCGCTACCGCTACCGCTACGACGATGACAACTACTACTGCTGCGACCACGACTATGACTACGACACCGATATACTACGACAGCGACGACACAGCAGGAAAATACAACTGTATGAACAAGGGATGACAGATCTCGACAAGGCATTTCGCTTCGCTGTCTGCTGCAGCTCGTGCCAGCGGCAGCGACATGTTTGGTCGGCGGTGCCCTCGCTTAAGTGGGCTGAGATGAATGAATTGTTGCGCGCGTGTGTGTTCCTGGGGGGGGAATCAGACTTGCAGGTCCAAACGAATGCTCTTCACTTGCGATGCTTCTGCCAAGGTCCAGGAAGACACGCGAGGCAAAGCCCTAGCCATGCCACAATCAGAAACAGGGGTGAGACAAGTAATAATCGTGAGGTGTCTGCCGAGTCTGCTTCAAGATCTCAGAATCGGAACGGAACTAGTGCAAACAGAATGGCTCGGACTAGCTCAAAAACGAAGGCAATTCGGCCATGACTCCCTCAAGGATCCCACATATTATGGGGCTCCTGCTTCGTGTGAGAAGAACAAAGACAGGAAAGGCTCCGTGTATCGAAGTGCGGGAGCACAGTGCTCGTGGCTCAACCGACCCCCACACCGAGCGGTCTGAACTCACAGACTGAAGACAACCCGTGATCCACATCCTCCCTGGCTCGCGCCGGCTTCACCTGGGCTCCACAGCGCTGTAGCGAGAGAAGAGGAGAAGAGCCATAGAGTAACAATATCTTGGTAATCTCAATGATAGCATGACTTCAATATAATAGTATGACCAGTCTCTGGACTTTTCCCAAACTGGCCTGCAGAGGTCTTGTTCGCCTCCTGGACCACCAACTCCCAATCCTTAGTGGTGCAAACTTTCACAAGGTCCCTCAGGTGCATGTTGGGGCATTTGCCATGCAAGTCCGAGGTTCCGCTTCGGACAACGTCCGCACCAGGCAAGCCCACGCCCACTCAAAGCTTACCTCCTCACCATTATAAAACCTGAGACGCGCCATGCCGGGAAGACAAGCTGCCACTTCATCATTATCATCCTCATCCTCCAAAATAAGAGCCTAGTAGAGCACATAAGTTCATGAGGTTCAACTGTTCAACCATAATCATAACCATAACAGGTATCCTTGATGGTGACACTAAGATGTCTTACTGGAGGCTCATCCGAACGGGATCTGGCAGGGTGCAGACGAGGTCTCCCGCATCCGATTTTGGGGGGAGTGCCGACTCGGCTCACAGGCAAGACCAACCGGCTCAGAGTTTAGAGCACAAAGGTTCAGAGCTCAGTTTTTAGGACGTATAGGGTCCACGAGACTTCGAGTTGGAAGTTTAACCGCGCTGAGAGTGTATAGCACAGCCCGTTTATGCATTTGGGAAAGCAAATTAAAGGGGTGTATAGGTTTTTCGTTGCCACGGAGGCGGTGGGAAGCGGGACACGGGACGCGGGACGGGGGACGCGGGACCTGTGACGCTCGACGCGGGACCCGGGACGCCGGATCCCGCCAAGGCACGCGACACGCGGCACGTGGGTCTATCTACTTCAGGGTCAGGAAGCCGGATTGTAGCCGCCGTCGCCTTCGAGTGGGCAGCGGTCGGGCATTGCGAATCCGCAGCCGGTCGCGAGCCGCGGGTCGCGGGGCCGCACAGGCTCGCACAAAGAAAGTTGAGGTACAGATGTTGGTTGGCGAATCTAATATGAAGAACCGGAGTCGCCAAATGAGGATATATAGTAACTATAGTAAGCCCCCAGAAAACAAAACGAACAAAAAAGCACAAGTCTTGGCCTGCGGACACGACTGGTTCTATGCTCCGCTCCCGTTCGCGTCCTGCAGCATGCAAGTACCTGAGAGGTGGGCAGTGGGCAGCGGGGGGGCGGGCAGGGTCGCGCTTCACTTATGTGTGAGGCGAGCAGAGTTGCAGGGGCCAAGGGGCATGTTGGCTGCGAGACCCTGGGTTTTCGCTGGGCCGAAGACCTCGCAAACAGCTGGGCGCTCTCTCTTTTTGGGGCTTGGCCGGCCCTTCTCTTTGGGCGTCCGGCGAGGGGGCGATCGTGCGGCGCCAGCGCAACCCCCTCCCACCTGCAGGAAAGGTCCAGAAAGCCACAGCACCGGCTGACCCTGAAACGGCCCGTCCTGTCCCTGAACCGGGCAGCTTCGTTTGTGGATCGGAAGTTGACGAAGGCATACCGACTGGAACGCTTTTGTCGGTACCTGCAGGGGGGGGGGGGGGGGGGCCCGGGGGGGGTTCTTTTCTGGCGAGTTTGCACTCGGACTCACGCGAGGCCTGAAGGGCAGGTAAAGGAAGTCGATGCCATCTGCAACAGGGCTCTCTCACTCTCGTCTTGCCGTCCCAAGCTTCCCTTCGCTCTTTTTAAAAAGCTCTACACGATGTGTGGGAGCCCAAAACAAGACACATCTCTGAGGATGAGGACCTCTGCCTCTCCTTGTCCCTGTCCGACCCTTCAGCTTTCAGCTGCCACCTCGTGCAGGCTGAAAGAGCTGCAGCAGGCGATGTGGTGTACAGCGAGCGGGGATGTTCTGGACGATGAAGGTGAGAACCTAACAGAGGACAGGAGAGAAAAAACAAGCCGTGACCGCCGTGTTTAGCAACTGAAGGCGGCGGGGCAAATCGGCCTGCCGATTTGCTTGCTGTCCAGTCTGTCCAGCCTCCGCCTCCAGGTCAAAACCAAAACCACCCACAGCCCGGGTGTTTCGAGCCTCCAAAGCCCTCGGCCTGACCCCAAAGCAACTGTGCTGGCAAAGGCGGACGGCTCGGGGCGATGGGACCCCTTCCTCAGCTCACTTTAAGTGCTCCTATAGCTCAAAACAAGAGCGTCTTGAGATATACCAAGGATCCGTAATCATGCACCTCCCGACGCCGAGAGAAAAACGGCTCAGAGCTGTGCGCACGGAGGCCCCGGCCTCCTGGATATCCGACAGCACATACTGCGGCGTCCACGGAGGGATCGAAGAAGAATTCACCACGTGGTCCTCTGAAGGATCGTCATGATGTGTTAAACACTGCTATCGGGTCAGGCCCTAGGCTTTGACAAGGTCTGCCCTCTTCCGAAACATCCAGCCAACGCCGCAAAGAAAAGAGACTCACGGACACAATAAAGCGGCACACAAAGACCAAAGCACATTCGGCTCTTCGTGCCTGATGCCACGGGCCTGCATAGGTATGGTAACCTTGCTCTTGCAGATCCAGGATGGAAGGCCATCACTTCCGAAACGCATTCAGGCCGAGAAGCCCCAAGGCTGCCACACCTTGAATCATATGGCATATGGCATTCGAGATTCTCCCGTGACTCTGCACCACTGCTCAGATCCGGGCAATTGGCTGCTGGGGCATATGTCCCATCAATTGTCCCATGCCTGGCTTCTAAGGAATGCGAGCTACCCAACACATGTCTTCGGATTCTATGGATTGACTGTTTTGGCTCCAAGTTGCCCGGGCCCTGCATCGCGGACATTCTGCCGAACCTGCCGGGGACCTGCTCAGATGGCCACAATAAGTCGCAAAGCCCCGCGATCCCTAAACCCCTAAGGCCGTAAACCCTGCAAAGCCGGACAGCCTTGCGAAGCCTAAGGGCCTAGCCCCTAGCTGCCTGGCCTCACCGAGAACATTTGAGGAACCGGAGGGTCTGAACCTGCCAAGGCGTGAGCGGAATGCGGATTGGGGACGGAGACTCAAGTGCAAGCAAGGACGAAGAAAGAACTTTGGACCGAAGGCGTCTCCAGCACTCGATCACAAGCGCAGGGCAGGAACACCTACCACCACCTTAAACCACCACCACCACCACCAATGATGGACCGAAGCACTAGCTGCTAGTGTCTAGCACAACTACTACTACAACGCCGATTGCAAAACCAACATGGCAAGACGAATAGGGGCTCAATGCAACAGTGCCTGCCCTCTTCCGGAACACCGGCAGAATTGGAGGCATCAGCAGTTGACGCCGCGCTCCGGGCATTGGTGGCGGGCACACGTCGCCTCGTTCCACCATCACCACTTCCATGCATCTAGAGGCTATCTCTCCCCAACCCGATCCAAACCTTGCGTGGTTTCCTTAATCCCGTGTTTGCCTCAGGTTTGGATCGGGCGAGCAGTCTGCACGTCTAGGTGCATTTGAAATTTGAGCCGGAGCTCTGACCATCGGCGAGCACTGCGCCCTTCCACAAGCAGAGGCAAAGGAAAGCGGGGGGGGGGGGGGGGGGGCGGCAAAGGGGCGGCACCTGGCATGGCCCACCTCGGCCTCGGCGGAACCTCCTTGCCTCGGCCGCCGGCCCAGCAAAAAGTCCTCTCTTCTTCCTGCTCAGAGACGCCGACCGAAAAGACTTCTCTTCAGTTCTCTTCTGTCTAAGGCTCGCAAGACACAATTCGCACCCCGTCCATGTGCGCGACGCCGCTCGGGATTTTGCTGTCGTCCTGACTGTCACTGATATCAATCAGCATGCGACGAGTCTCGAGAACGCTGATCATTCGCAAGACAACCGTTGCATGACGCTACAACCATGACAAGTGGGCTTCGGACAACGAGAAATAACACTGACAGCAAGACTACCGTGAGCACAGACAGATCAAACAGCAGCAGCAATGATAGCCGTGATAAGAACGACTCTGGCGACGATATGAACAGGTTAATGGCAAGAACGATCATGAAAAACTTGACATGATCGCTTCAGGCATGGCAGGAGCAACAGTCGGCGTGTTCCCTGTTTCTCCTCCGCCTCCCCCTGGTAGCAAGAACGGAACTCAAGTCAAAAGAGGAACAGACAACGTGCTGTGCGAGTAACACGTCAACTACTCATGAGAGAACTCGCGGCTGTTTTGATGACATTGCTGCAGGCATTGAAAGGCCTGTGAGGTTGGCATTGACATGTGTTGCACCACTTAAGTGCCAATTCAGGACTGCATCCTTTGGACATCGGGCTTCACTGAGCTGCAGTTTGCACACAGTTCAGCCACTGAGTCACTGAGCCTGCACACTCTGCGAAAGCTGATCACCCTGGCATTGTTCCACAGCCAAACAATCCAACAGCAACCTGACAACTCAAGAGCCCACAGACGCCTAAAGTGTAAATGTGTCCGTAAGAGGCTCTTGCTTTCCGATTGTCAAAGGTCAACACCTAGAATCAGGCAGCGTAACTGCCCTTGTCGCACATCTACCTACGAGCACCAACCTCACCAGTCCGAATTTTAGGACAGGATGGTGGGCACCTTTTATAGCTCTAGGGAGTTGAGTCAACTGAAGAAACGGTTCGCAAGATCTCGAAAGATCACGGAAGATCTTGAGTTGCTTTCGGCACAGAGTGGCTCGAAAGCAGCCCCCCCTGTTGAGTGTTTCCCCTACTTCGCCTCCCCCCTGAACCCCTAGGACCGAGATCATATTCGCTGCACACCCAACAAGGGGATCCTACTGCTGAATTCGGCACCGGTACGACTCCATCAGTCCCTGCCCTTCAAGACCTTGTCCAGGTTCTCCTCATGGACCAGTTGAGGATCGCCTAGCAAAGCCATGGCCATGTGCTCCGTATCCTCCGGGGCTTTCGATTCCATGCAGGGTTGTGATTCGGTTTAAGGTTTAGGGTTTAGGGTTTAGGGTTAGTTATTGAGTTATTGACATTGACTCTTGTCTTCAGTTTGTTTCCACACTGGGCCTCTGCGAAGAAGGGATTACCGGGCCGCATGTATCGGCGCGCCAGGTTGTGCAAGGACCTCGGCTCAGAACAGACCACGATCCATGTCCACCGGATTCCCCCGGCTGCTTGAGACTTCGCAACATCCTTGTCGTCACCGAAACCTATTTCGAGCTCTCTGCTGTCTTTTTTTGATCTGTTTGCAATCTCTAAGACGCCAAAAATCCTTCCGCTCCCACAGCCTGGCCCAGTTTACGTGTTTCCCTTCCGTGCGGACGCTTCGGACAGCGACCGCTTCCGCAAGAGCAAAAGTCTCTCTTGCATATTCTGCGGCAGCTTACATACTGCATTCGTGGATTCTGCACCAATTCAGTTGTTGCTGTTTTTTTCTGTTGTTGTTGCTGCTGTTGATTGCGGCTGAAGTTGATGCGGTTGCGGTTGCTGTTGTGTTGTTGCTGCTGTTGTTGCTGTTGTTGCTGTTGTTGCTGTTGTTGCTGCTGTTGCTGTTGCTGTTGCTGTTGCTGTTGCTGTTGCTGTTGCTGGTGCTGGTGCTGGTGCTGGTGCTGGTGCTGGTGCTGGTGCTGGTGCTGGTGCTGGTGCTGGTGCTGGTGCTGGTGCTGGTGCTGGTGCTGCAGAGTCTCAGAGATTTCCATTTCGAATGAAAGTGTGGTGTCCAGCTATGGACTTCAGTCGAGAGGCGAACGCTGCTCTAGTTCTCTAGCGAGGTTCATGCCCCTGAACGCAAAGCCGAGCCGTTATTCTCCAAGGGACTCGTGGCAGAGCAGGGAGTTCAAAGCTTTTTGCGTGAGCTTCTTGGTGCCACAGAGGAAGATCTCGGAACTGAGATTGGTATGACCGCTGGTCATGGCAAAGCACTCGGACCAGGCATCCACTTTTTGTTCCCGATCGAGGGAGGCGTTGCGAGCCTTCTCTTGTGCAAAAGCCCAATCGAAGCGCAAGGAAGGCTCACCTGAGGCCAACTGAAAGGCCTTCACCACCTTGCTCTCGTCTCCCAAAGCCTTCTCCCGTGCCAGGAATCGTTTGACCTGCTTCTTGGCCGTATCCAGCATCTGCTTGGTGGGTCTCCGGCCACGCTGGCCCGGGATCCGTGCCTTGAGGATGGGCTTTTGCCAGTGGCTCATCAGGCAGAAGATCTGCTGCGGCGTGAGGTCGCAGGGAAGGGACTCTGCCAGGGCCTCTGCCACGTGCCGATCCGAGAGCGCCACGGGGTCGTCCGTTGCCTCCTTGGGCCTCTCTTGAGAGGGAGGACAGAGTCTGACAGAGAGGGAGAGAGAGTGCTGACTACCCGCACTTTTCGACCCTCTCGCCGCGCCTCTCCTTCTCCTTCTTGGCAGGAATGGCCTGTGAAGACTGAGTAGTTCCCTTGTTGATTATGAGTCTGCGGGCTCCGGATCCCGCCTTCCGCTTGCCGGGCTTGGATCCGGGTTTGCCGCGGGCCATGGCGCGAGGCGATCAACGGACCCCCCCCCCCACTGGTCTTTGGCAGGGCCTCTTTGGCCCAGCCTTGCTGCGGCGCACCTCCACCCCAACGAGATCTTCTACGACTTGCGAGTCAGCGGGTGTCGGTTGGGTGTACATGGTCGAGCGACGTCGAATCTTTCAGCACCGGCCTTTGCCGTTTCCTGGGAATCTGAAAGGTTCCCATTGCAAGTTGGGATGTGATGGAAAGGATGGAGATGTCTAGCGGCACAGCAGGCTGCAACAAAAATGCAGGGAAGAAGCTCCAACGAGTTGTTTGTCAATAGAGCGCTTTGGAGCCGTGGTCGTGGTGAGTAGAGAAATAGAGACAGAGAGCGAGAATAACTAAACAAGAGTAAGAGAAAAGTGGGGAGAGACGTACTCCGGATTAATGTGGTCCAAGACTCCTGCTTTCATCATCTCCACGGCAAACGGATCTCCCAGCACTCGACGAAGGGGTGAGCAAACCTCGAAGGGCCAAAGTGGGTGTAGACTGAATGATCGGCCACTGGACCACAACAGTCAAACCTTCAGGGATCCCAGCTCCCTTGGGGGTTCGATGGCGAAGGCGCCGATGGAAGCACCTTCGAGACGAGCAGCCTCAAGCAGCCAGCAATGCCAGCAATGCCCGCCGGCCCGCCGCCTGCATCTTGCAGCTTTCGGCGGAAGGTGCAGCGGTCGCAACTGTCCGAAAGGACGATGCCCGGTGCCGCTTCGCGCGAAGGCGCGCTGTAACCGCCTGGCGAAGAAACTTCTCACGACGCTGCACACGGCGGCTGTAGGGGTCCGCGACCGATGCAGAAGTTCTGCTGGTGCTTGTGCGCCACGAGGAAACCTTCGGCGACATGCACAGCCAAAAAGTGTCTTGTCTCCAGCGAGAGAAGTCGTCAAAAAGAAGGCGCCTTCGAGCCGAGGGCAAAGGAGGGATCCTCTCGAAAGCGGGAGGCGCGCCCCCCGCGTGAGTCCCCGCGTTCTCGCTCGATTCCACGCCGGGCCTCCGCCCAGCACCGCCTCCAGGAGGCTCAGGAAGTCCCTTTCGGAGCACCTCACACAACGGACCCCTCCCTTCTGCCCTCCAATGTCTCGGAGCGATGCGGGCTTAAGAGGATTCCAGATGAAAGAGCGCAACTCAGTGAGATATAGCACGACGATGAGATGTTTAAGCGGATCGAATCCAGAAACAGCGGGTGCAGTGACACGCAAGCAGAGAAACAGCGACATCCCAACGCACTACAAGCCTGTAGCTGCCGCAGGCAACAGGACGGTGAACTTGCAGCACAATCCCAAGGACGAAAGGGGGAAGTGCAGGCGCACGTAAGAGATGTTGATGCAAACTCCATCCAAACATCCTGATCCCAAGCTTGCTCGCTGTTTTCCGCTGCTCAGCGCCTCAGCGCTTTGGGGCATTAAGGGCCGCACTGGCAGGTGACCGGCTCGGCGGCGACGAGGACGTGGGCGCTGCGCAGCAGCGCCCGGGCGTTCGCGTCCAAGCGAGACCAGTCGAGGCAGCCTCGGAGAGAGCCAGGCGGAGACCTATACTACTGAGTTACTACTGGTAACTACTGGTACTGGCCAGTCCTCTGATACCAAAAACACCGCTCTCGGACGACGCTGCGCCGAGCCGCAGAAGCTGGCCCTGCCCGGCGGCCTTGGACTCGGCGCTGGCAAAGGGGAGCAACCGCGGAGGCGAGGCTGGGGAGGATCGGGGCCGGGGCGCTGGCTTGATGTGGGGTCCCGTGCTGAGGATGGAGGCGGCGGCGGCTTCCTGGAACTTCGGCAGGTCCGTGAGCGTCACCCGGGCGCCCAACTGCGCCAGGAGGAGCCCCACCTCTTTGCGTGCTCTCTGATGCGCAGAGCTCATATCCGGGCCGGGCCGGGCACGAGGCCGCGGCATAGCCGGTTCCACAGCCCAGCTCCACGACCGAGCGTCCCCCTCGCACTCACAACACAAGCCTTCGAGTTCCGAGCAAACCAATTAAGCCGGGTCACGCCACAGCGCCGGGAGTGCCGCCGCCTCCGAATCGCTGATCGGAGCTGCCACAGCTAGAAACGCGGAGCCTTTTTCGCCCGTTCTTCTTTTCTCGGCCTGAGCGCCGAAGACGACAGCTGCCTCGGAGGTTCCCGGCAACCCAGCTGGCGGTGCCTGCGGCGGTCCCCAGAAGTCGGCCACTCAACGCCGCTCTGCATCGCTCCGCTCACTTTTCTCTACCGCAGAGAGGCCCGTTGCCATTGCGGGCTCGACGTCGCTTCTGCCAAGCTCCGGCTGGGGTGATCAGGTCCTCGCCAGCTGCGCGGTGTCTTCGCTCAAGGGCCGCTGGACCGCCAGTGTCAGGGCGCCCAGCGAAGAGCTCTCTCCTTCTTCCGTCCAGCCCCTGGCCCTACACATCGCTGCTGCTGCGCTTCTTTGCTGCATCTTCCAGCCGCTTAGCCGCCTAGCCCTCTTCCAACTCGGGCTCCTCGCCCAAGAGCTCCGCCTTGTGCCATTGCTTCAGCTGGCCGCGGAGGAGGAGGGCTTCCCCCGTCCAAGGCTCCCAGCGCACGCCGCTGAGACACTTCTCACTCCGTGCTCCGCGAGCAGCGACCAGCACATGCGGATTCCGATCCAAGGTCGGCAGCCCCAGCACGCCGACGGCGATCCCTTCGTCGCCTTGCAGAGGCTCAATATATACTCAATGACACGCAAGTCGATAATTCGAGGGGGACAGGACAGGAAGGGCTTCACTATGGCTTCGCCGACAGCTTCGCCGACAGCTTCGACAGCTTCAGAGAGAGAGCTCTGCAGGCCTCGGGCCAGTGTGGCCACGCGCATCTCGCAAACCGCAGCGGGGCGCAGGCGTCGGAGCTCTTTGCTGGCCTCTGCGGTGACGGATCGCTTGAAGTTGGCTGCCAGTGGCTTCGGGTTGCTCAAAGGCCCGCGGCATAGCTCACAGCGATCGGCGAAGACGTGCCAGTCGTGGGGCACTCCAACAACGCTCTTCAGCAAGCTTTGGCTCCCTTCATCCAGCACCACTCCCGAGATCCAAACTTCCGCTTCCGCGTCATCCTCGGCTGCTCCCGCTTCCGGCTCCTGCGCAAACTCCACGCCAGTGGCAGGGGCTCCCTGGGCAGGGCGAAAGACGGTGATGTAGCGCTCGGGGCCTTGGCCGAAGGATTGCGAGACGAGGCCCAGACTTTCGGCCGCTTCGTGCACGAACCTCCTTTCCAGGCCCGTCAAGGACTTGGGGAAAGTCAGGGAGGTCTCCGGCAGTGCCCCAAGCGCCTCCACCACACGAAGGTCCTCTGCAGAGGCCGTCACCTCCCTTAAGCCGCTTCCGTTCGCCGTTCCGCACAGTGACAGTCCGTCCGGGTTTGTCGCCCCCTCTTCGAGTCGCACCGTGAAGGCAGCGGCACCAGGAAGGACGCCTCGAACCGTCCCGACACGGCCGTGCAGCTCCGCGCGATCCTTGCCCAGAACTTGCAGGAGGACGCGATCCCCCACGCGAGGGACCGCACCGGTCTCGGTGCCTGCAGCCAAGGCCTCCAACTCGCCCAGCAACACTCGGCGTCGTTCCTCTGGCAGTTCCTCCGATTCTCGTGGACCTCCCTTTCCCCCCTTTCCCTTCTGGCCCTTCTGGCCCTTGCCCTTCCCAGCTCCTTTTTGGCCCTTTTGGCCCTTCTGGCCTTTCGCATGGAAGCTCTGCTCACCCCATCCGCCCTTGCGGCCCCTGCCGCTCATGCTTTGGCAGCTCGTCCACAGCAGTTCTCTGCAATCCGGGAACCATCTGGCTTGGCCAAGTGGCCAGGGCTTCTTGAGAGTCGATATGTTTCATCAAAAGGGAAAACGTGCCGCGGAAATTGCAATAAACCCAGGTTCCGCACTCCGCCCCATGTACTGCTCCATGCAAATTTCAGCACCCACCGAGCTTTCCGGCGCATGTCTTGCACAGCCTTCACATGCAACGTGCGAGCTTTGCCGAACTTTGGGCTTAAGCATTCTGCACTCTGAGCACTTTGGCTCACCAAGACCCCCTGGCAGCTTGCTAGCCATGCCGAAGTCGAGTCACTGGTTCCATGATGCCTCACGTGTGACGACGAGCTTCTGAAGCCACGCGAGAGTCTCTGGCGTCGAAGACGAACCCACTCTGAGGCACAATCGCCTAGCCCGGACGAGCCCAGCCCCCAAGCCTGCGTTGCCTTGCGCCGCCAGGAAATGCCTCGGACACCGTCGGACACTCACGGAAGTCAAATCGCCCGAGGCAACCCCAGGGCTGTGGCTGCTCCAGCTGCTGGTGTTCAAGGTGCTCGAATTCTGCCCTTAAGACCAGTCACAACAGTCACAAACTCCAACTGTGCCTCCATCTGGCAAAATGCCGGGCTCTTCGCACGAAATCCTCAAGATCATAGACATCCTCGCCTCAGTGCTTCCACACAAGCTCTCCGGGCCCTCCAGCTCAAAAGCTTCTCTGCGGATATCTTCCTTTGACTCTAATCTGCTCTCTGCTTCAGGCAACTGCCATCCAACTCCTGCACCAGAACTCCCGCTCGATGCCGTTGAGCCTCAAGGCTGTTGTGGGGACTTACCTAGTTGTCGGCTTCAACACTTTCCAGGGGGTCCTACCTACATCACCCCGGAATGCAACATCTCTTCTCACTGCCTTGTGCACCGCTACCAAGCCCCCCTAACTGAGCTTTGAACATGCTTCTCAGCGAAGCATTGGACCAGCAGACGACCGAAGAGATAATAACCCTGCAAGCCACTCTGCAGCAAAACTTGAATGCACATACTTGCTGCAGGACAGAGAGATGGCTTTTGCAAGGTTAAGTTTGGTGTTCTGCGTGTAGCAAAGAGATAGTGTCAGATGAAGAAGCCGAGACATGCTGAGACGATTGGAAATACAGGGTGCAGGATCCGTGGCTTCCCATCAACTGGCCAAAATTTGCATGTACAGACTGCGGCTCTCAAAGTAAAGCGAGTCTGCCCGTGAGCAGACGATGCGGCTCACTGTAAGGACGAAAAAGATGCGGGACAGGCAAGCGACGAGGGACGAGGCTGGAATGGGGGATGTTGCACAGTTCGCAGCGACCAAACGTAGCGAGTCAGTGCTGTCTGACTAACTGATCAGGCAATCAAAGGGGAAAAAGCGCACGCAGTCTCGACGGGCCTGCTCTTTCAGCTTGGTAAACATAACCAAATTCCTGCAACCCGCCAGGCTCAGAATGCTCTGTACATTACTTGGCTAATCAATTCGGAAGAGCCGACTTGGCCGTCGGCCCAATGCCTTCACGGATAACGAGAAGCGTCCTTCTGCCATTGCTGAAGTCGGCAATCCTTTCGTCCAGTACATCCCCTGCAGCAGGGACGTAGGCCTGCCATGCCCGCACCAACACGGAAAGCTGCCTTGCCTGCAAGATTCTGATCACCAGTCCAGGTGCCGGGCAGTGCTCACTTCTACTGGCAGAGCCTCGCATCAGACATGCTGCAATCACCAGGAACACCAGGACGGCAGCCCTTCGGGGGATTTTGGAGGCAAATTTGCAGAAAGACTGCAGATGAAACATCTGCAATCATGCACTCCACCGTGCGTACGTCGCTACATCTCAAGTTCCTGGCCGTGAACATCGTGGCATCTGTCATCTGACCCAGCGTGCCTCGGCAAATGCACAAAAAACCTCCAAACTTGTCGCCTGCATGGAACTCAGCATGTTGAAGCTGCACCCCTCTGCGGCGCATGACGTCCTCTTTTCATTGGTGTAACTTCACAGAAAAACTGCCCGGACTGCACTACACGCCTGTCAAATGCTCAGCTACTTGACTTCGGCTTGACCTTGTATTTTGCATGTTGCACTTGTCCGAGACCAGCCAGGACTGGGCCAGGACCCCGGCCTGAATTCTCCAAGAATGACTGCTTTGTCTCTTCGAGCTCCTCTTGCAACCTGACAGCCGCAATGAATGGAGAATGAACTGCTCACGCCTTTCGTGTTCGAAAGGTGCGCGCCTTCGGATCACATGATCCTTGAGGGGAACAGGATCCGGGATATGCGCAAGAACATGCATCCCGTCCTTCATCGAAATGACCTGTGCCGCCACCTGCAAACAAAAATGCTCTTCCCTTTCCGATCGAGCGGAAGCCAAGGTTGGCCTCTGCAGAGCCGATCTCTTCTCCCAGGGAGCGGATGACATGATCCTTGACAGGGTTGCGGGCTTGTTGCCTAACGGCACCCATCGGTATCTGCTGGGTTCGCCTGAAGAAACTTCATGAAGCCTTCATCAAAAAATTCAAGAAGAAAGACAAGCTTGCCTTCATGGCAATCACGTGGCGCAACTCCTGAAGCTCGTCTTCCCTGTGCACGAGGAGGTCCTTCATCAACACTCGGAGGGCTTCATCTCTTGGCAAGTCTGGAGATGTGGCCTGCAGATCCTGAACCTGCAACTCGTCGTAGGAGCGAAGCAGCGTCGAGCAGCCTTCCAAAATCGCTACTTGGTCAATCCTTCACTGCCCTACCCCGAACTACCCCGGCCTTCTCCATCTTCCTCAGGAGGACCAGCTATCGACCGAGCTGCTGACCGTGGCTCTGCGGACCTCAGGAAAGTGATGGCAGCGGCTGCTGCTGCTTCAGAATCATTCATGCTTTGTCCTGGTGCCCTTTAAAATCATCACGCGATTTGACCGCGAGCTCATTCTGTTGGATTGCACAGAAGATCAAGTCCATGAGGGCCCCGCCCCTCTGATTCGCCTGAATCATAGATTTCCTGCGCAGACAGAAGATTGCACAGCAAAGTGCGAAGATATCACTCCGTAGCAAGCTCAAGTTAAATTTGCGCAAGCTCACTCGCACTCGGCATCAATCCTCCCCGTTACATGACCTGCTGGATAGTTAGATCTGGTTTTCTACGGTGACCAAGACCTGTTCAAGAGTGATGGTCCGACCACCCGGCCCGGAAGAGACCCAGACAATGTCGTGTGTCAGCATGGCATGGCAGCAAGAAGAGCATTTTCGATCGACCTCGATGCGCACCAGCGGGATGGCTGGTCCGCTTCTGAGACCATGAGCCTCCGTGAAGCGAGCGATGGCATCCGAAGAGATACCGTCGGGTCGTGCCATGCGGTGCCTAGCCCGGGCCTGCATGGCTCAAGTGCCTGTCTTCCATCGGCACAAACGGCTTCAGCTTCTGTCAACAAATAGCTGATTGGCTGGGGTCGAGGACCTCATGCTGGTCCTGTAAGCTACGAAGTGCAACGAAGGAATCCAACTCTGCAAGCCTGCAGACTGAGCGCCGCCATCAAATGAGATGCGTCGGCCACATGTGCAGCTTGCAGAACACGGTTTCTTGCTTTTCTCGCCCGGACCAAGAGATGAACCACGGCTTTCAGCAAGGGCCGGACCTGGTCACATCCTGCACTTCGGTAGCACCGCATCAACTTCAGAACGGAGGAAAGCACGGACCTATCCACGGCCCGCTCCAAAGCGAAGTCGCGAGGATCTCTGCCTCAATGCGAGCTTCTAGAATCTAGGCTGGAACAAGCTGACCCAGTTCTGGTGGGAACTCAGTCGCGCTATGCCGCCCAGAAGGGAATCACCGAACCCTCCTCCATCTCCCCTTCAATTAATTCCAAGTCGAAGCGAAGGGGCTCCATGTAGGCCGTGGTTGCATCCTTGCAAGAGACACACATGAAAAAGATACAAACAAAAATGATCGCCGCCAGGCCCCGAGCTACCGTGCACCAACCTCAGTCACGATTGTTTGGCATCTTGCTCTTACATCATGCCAGAGCATATCATATCAAATCATATCGTATCGTATAGTATAGTATAGCATAGTATAGTATAGTATAGTATAATATAATAGAAAAGTAGAGTTGAGCAGAGTATAGCATGTTTAGATTGTATTGTAGTATATTGAACTTATATTCAATTATGTTAGTGAAATTAATTCGTGTTATGTTAGTGACCTCGTCCTGCCACACTTCCAGGCTGTCTGAGCCAAATTGTGCTGGCTCGGCGGCAGGGCTCTAAGGTCTGAACTTGGCCAGGTCTCCTGCCTGGGGCTGGCCTCGCTGACGTGTGCGCGATTTAGAAAACAAGGGGCCCTTCGGATCCAAAAACCCTAGCCAGGGGCCCCTTGCGCGCGAGCGGTTGGTCAAATCCATGTGTCGTACAATTAGTACCGTATTGCCGAGATGCAAATCCGAGCATTGTGTTTCCCGTTAGGGCATGCGGGCAAGCCTTTGCCTCTGGACGACCGCCGTCACCGGGGCGCCAGACCTAAGCCACCCCAGCGGCAGAGCGTGGAAACGGCATTGCTGAGGTCGGTGCCTCTGGACGGCCCCGGACAGGCTCCTTTCGTGTGCATATGGCATAAGCGATAATAGGTGAACTATCTCTGAGATCGGTCGGTTCCATGGTGGCGATGCCTGGTTGTCCAAGACATCGTCCCAGCAACCACAAGTCCTCTGCGCATCATGAGGGAATTTCTGGACATCGAGCGGTGCATCGTCACCAGAGACAGTCATACAGTCCTTCCAATGCCGCCGACCCACCTTCCAATCCGGCCCTGCAATTCCGAAAGAGATCCACCGGCACTTGATCAACACGCCCTGGAGATTTTCGCAAACCACACATCCAGCTTTTTGCGTTGTTGCATTGGTCATTATCCGGCTGGACTGCTCCAAACCCTTGCCTGCACTTCCAGACAACCCCCGCTGGGTGCTAGGCAATCCTCATTAGCATATGAAA